TTTAATATTGAGAAAAAGCTCGACAAAAATAGCGAGTTGAAAAAGGAATACGAGAAGCAAATTGAAAATCTCATCGTTAACGGTTACGCAGAGAAAGCGAACCATATTTCCATTTCCCCACGTACGTGGTACCTTCCCTCACTTCGCAGTGACTCACCCACAAAAGAAGAAAATAAGGATAGTTTTCGACGCCGCCGCAAGGACGGGCGGACGTTGTCTTAACGATGCGTTGTTGACCGGACCGGACTTATTGAAGTCGTTGTTCGGAGTTCTGCTACGATTCAGAGAAGGAAGCGTGGCAGTAATGGCAGACATTAAGGAAATGTTCCTGCAAGTGAAAATCCGGGAAGAAGACAGGGATAGCCTTCGATTCTTATGGCGGCACAATCGTGACGCGCCACCGGAAGAGTATAGAATGACGTCACTCATATTTGGAGCGGCATCATCACCATGCATCGCTATATATGTAAAGAATAGAAATGCGCAGGACAACGCACATATCTATCCAGAAGCAGCTTCCGCTACGGAAAGCAATTTTTATATGGATGATTACCTACAGGCATTTCCCGACGTGACGACGGCCGAAAGGATAGTAAACGATATGTATGAATTACATAAGCATGCTTCTTTCCAACTGAGGGGATGGGCTAGCAACCGACCCGAAGTTTTAAGTAATATGGAAAATAAATATAAGAGCGACAGTGCTTCGCTTGGAGATAAAGAGCACACAGAGCGCACGTTAGGTTTGATTTGGAATATCAAACGGGATATAATAAGTTTTTCCACAAGTCTTCGTAGCACACCGGAAGAGGTGATGGAGGGTTTGCGACCGCCTACGAAGAGGGAGATAACTAGCGCTGTGATGTCAGTCTTCGATCCTTTGGGACTCGCATCACCCATAACGATTCAAGGGAAGTCGCTGATCCAGCAAGTATGGAGGACAGGCATCTCTTGGGATGAAGAAGTTTCACACGAGTTACACGTGTTATTTTGTAAATGGATATCGGAAGTGAAGAAATTAGGTCACTTAGAAGTACCTAGACCCGTTGCTGAAGGCATCGGCAAAGGAGAGTTACATACTTTCACGGATGCTAGTGAAAAAGCATACGCTGCCGCGGTGTATTACGTCACCACGGACGAGCAAGGAATAAGGCGGATTACGCTGATCGCCGCAAAGGCAAGAGTAGCGCCATTGAAACCAATTTCGATTCCAAGGCTTGAATTGCAAGCAGCTCTTATGGGCAGCAGACTGGCTGCTTCGGTTAGTGAAGAGAGCAAGTACGAGATGTCCGAGAGAGTGTTTTGGACAGACTCACGTACAGTGTTAGCGTGGATTAAGTCAGATCCTCGCGCTTTTAAACCATTCGTTGCTCATCGATTGGCTGAGATCGAAGATCACAGTAAGCCATGTGAATGGCGATGGGTTCCAACGTCACAAAACGTGGCAGACGACGCCACTAGAAATTTTCCTTCCACCTTCGATGTAAGTCATCGCTGGTTTCAAGGACCTGAATTCCTCAGGAAAAGTCCTGATTTATGGCCCAAACAAGTGGACACCATAAATAGCTTAGAAACAGGTGAAGAAAAATCGCCAAAGGGCGTAAATACGTTAAGAAAGCAAGAACCGTTAAGTCTACCCGACTACGGACGATTTAGCAGCTTTAAGAAATTCCTTGGAGCAACTACACGCACCTTACAAGCGGTAGAAAAATTCAAGAGTTTAAGAAAGTCGGTTAAAGGACCCGACGACGCAACCGAAAAGTCGGTTATGTGTTCCAACAAAGTTTTAGCAAAGTCGGTTAAAGGACCCGATAGCGCGTTGGACACAGCGCTCTTGAAAAAGGCGGAAATATTAATTTGGAAATTCATTCAAGACGAGTGTTTTCATTCGGAAATAAAATGTTTGAAAGGAGGCAAAAGCGTTGAAAGAAGTTCACGCTTAAGTAAATTATCTATGGAAATAGGAGAGGATAACTTACTCCGTTTAATGGACGTTTACCTTTCAAGTCTAATTTGACCGAGGAAAGTAGAAAACCTGTCATATTAGACGGTAAACACGAAATCGTTAAAATGATGATTAGAGAAGTTCATCATCATTTTGGACACGCCAATCACCAGACGGTGATGAATGAGGTGAACCAGAAATTTTACGTCTTGAACTTGCGTAATGTAGTACGAAGTGTGTCACACCATTGTCAGTGGTGCAGGACATACAGGTCAAAGCCGCAAAATGTGCCACAAGGAAATATTCCTCTGGAAAGAATAGCTCATCATGAGCCACCTTTTACATGCTCAGCTGTAGATTATTTTGGTCCTATGAGTGTGACTATAGGAAGGCGACACGAAAAACGTTGGGGCGTTTTATTCACGTGTCTGACCACCAGAGCAGTACATCTGGAATTAGCAGCCTCATTGACACCAGCGTCAATGATAATGGCGTTAAGGCGATTTATCGCCAGAAGAGGAAAACCAGCCGTTATATACAGCGATAACGGGACAAATTTCAAAGCTGCAAATAAAGAATTATTGAAAGCATGCGAAGAATGCTATGAGGGCATGAAAAACGAGTCATTTAAGAAATATATTAAATGGAAATTTATACCTCCGGGAGCACCGCACATGGGTGGCGCCTGGGAGAGGTTAGTAAGATCGATTAAAATTGCGTTGACCGCTACGCTTAAGGAGAAGAGCCCACGAGAGGAGGTTCTACATACGTTACTTTTAGAAGCAGAGCATACGGTAAATTCCAGACCTCTGGTAACATTCAGTATGGATAGTCCTGAAGAGGGTTTGACACCCAATCATTTTCTTCTGGGACGCTCATGTGGTGATCGACCACCTGGATTATTTTTAGAGCGACATCTGACGGGTCAACTCAATTGGAAAGCTGCACAGAGGTTAGCCGACCATTTTTGGACAAGATGGCTGAAAGAATACATGCCTACGTTAATACCTCGAACAGGTGATAACGGCAAGTTCATGGAACCTAAAGAAGGCGATATTGTTTTGATAATAGATCATTCGTTGCCACGAAATACGTGGCCAAAAGGTAAAATTAGTAGAACGTTACCGGGACCAGACGGTCACACCAGAGTGGTTGACGTCATTACTAGCACAGGTATCTTGAGGAGACCTACATCCAGAATAATAGTCCTGGTACCCGCGACGCCTCCCAAATGATGGTGCTAACGCACGGGGGGAGATTGTTGGCGACGCGCCTATAAAAATGTTTCAGTTTATTAAATCAACCGATGACGTTGCTATGAAAAAAGGGGCAGTCACGAGCAACGACGCTCTGATAAGAGAATGCTTAGTTAAATCTTTAAGAAATGTCGAATTAATGATATGAAGGTCTTGGGTTCGACTCCCAGGCCGGACTAGTTTGTTTGTTTTCCTAAGTAATATCGCTTAATAAATTCATAAGAATATTAAAGTGAAGTTAAAGATCGGATTTGTTCCCCGGTCGAGATAATCACTCTGTGCATAGGCAGAATTAATGGATATTAATTGCATAAATGTTGTTTTGTATAAGTTTGATACGTTTTGTACGAAAACAAATGCCTATTTGTTATGATTGATTAATGAGAACATTCATTTATATTGTTATCTGATTAAAGATAGTTTCATACAGTTCGAAAATTGTATAAAAGCATTTAATTTGCCTAATATGGTCAAAATTGGTGTATTTCATAATTTAATTTTTTCTGATAGCCGAGAGCCGTGCAAAGTTAGTTGTTCACATAGCGTGAGTTCATAGACGCACGCTGGCCACGCCCTTAGGAGGCCGAATATGTAAAAATTTAAAATGTTTGTAATTCAGTGATTTATGTAAAAATTACTTGTAAAATATTTCAGGTTAATTGTACGTGCTAAAAAGGTAAATTCTGTGTTATTTTCATGTGAAAATTCCTGTGTATAAGTGAAATAATGATAGTTTTGTATAAGAAATTTAAAAGTGTTTTAAATAGTGAAATAAATAGAAAAAATGTAAATTAAACTATTGTATTGGTTAGCTTATGTATAAATTCAAGTGAGAAACATTGTTTTAACTTTCTGTGTTAAATATTTAAGAAATTTCGATTTCGAACTTGTGAGTAAAATAGGCAGTTTTCGTTTAATAAATAAAAGGTTTTTTATGATATGAAGATATGATGTATATCATGGTGTAGATATTGTTTTGTACTACCTATATTGATAAATTGTATTTGTATATGATTTGAATAAATAAAGATATTGAGTAAAACGTGAGAGAGTAATAGAACAAATTCATGTAATTGAGTTGCGCAAGCGCGCGAATGGCGCGGCTCACTTTCGCGTATAGCTCTGGGGTAGCTTAGTGAACGGGTTTTATTGCAATTCGTTCGGGGAAGTTCGGGAATCCTTCGGGAAGTTCGGAAATAGTTCGGAAATAAATAAGAAAATCCGAGAAAAAGTTCAAGAAAAGTGAAAAACCAGCAGTATAGGGAAAAGTGATTACTCTCTCACGGAACGGTTTGAAGATAATTGCTGTTTCATTCCCAAGATCCTTTAAGTTATACAGTCCACATCGAAGAATTAAGGCGTCGGGACCGGGACGACTTCGGAAGACCCGTAATCCCCGTCTGAACCTACTTGCTGAAAAGGAAGAGGTTATCGCCCTAGTGTGTTACTCCGTTGCGGAGATCACATACGTTGTTCCCGAACCCAACGTAGGCGTGATAGGAGGCCGGATCGAGAGAAGCCTCGATTCCTGTTTCTTAGTACCCGATCCGCTAGGTCCTTTTCAATTGGTCCTTCGCGGCCGATTGAGAGGACGTCCAACCTGAGTTCCTTTTCAATTGGTCCTTCGCGGCCGGATTGAGAGGACGTCCGACCTGTGTTCCTTTTCAGGTGGTAACTACTCGGGTGAACTCTTAGACAGAAAAGGAATTTTACCACTTGATATGTACGTGGAGTTTTATCTATATTTCTTTGTTAGTCTTTGTCAGTCGAATTAGAAATGATCAAACTCAATCTTACAGAGAACGTGAACGAATACCTAAAGCTGGCGGCGAATGCGGACAAACAGCAGTTACAGCGTATCAAGGCAGTGTTCGAGAAGAAAAACCAAAAGAGTGCGCTTTGTATCGCGCAGTTGCAGAAGAAGCTGGAGGGCTACAACAAACGCATCAGGAATTGGGAGGTAATTTAATTTGCACTAATTTACCTAAGGCCGTTACCTCGTTGGTTTCTAATATCAACATTAGAGCAAGAGTGAGAGTGAAGTAAAAAGTTTCGAGAGTAAGCCGGTATATTGTACAGTCCTTACGAATAAAGAATGGGATTAGAAATTGCGGCTCATCGAGCCCGTACCGTCAACATATAACAAATCAACAATAATTGTGAAAACTCGCAGATCGCGTATAGCTCACAAATTAGCGAAACCAAACAGATTTTTTTTGTAGTTTGCGTAATTTTGTTATCATATCATTGATGACAAGTTGGACTAACATTATATTCTGCAGTCTTTACCGGCGGATGTGAGTATAGATAGCGACAGGGTGCGAGCGAGCGGTGAATAGAGACAACGCCATTTTCAATCCCATTCTTTTAACCTTAGGTAGTATAAATGTGATAGGTGTATAAGAAAATTTATCTGTATATCGTAAGGGGCGCCTATGAGAATGGTCAGAAAAAACCACACGGATACATACATTAATTCCTATTTGTGTGTGCCAGATTTAAAATACACAAACCTAATTTTATTGTTAAGCTATTGCATAGCTTCTATCGCGGGCCTTGAGCGCGGGGACCGAATCCAGAAATTCCGTAACGAAAAAAAACCTCACGCTCCCCACTCCGACGGGCACGGAGGTGTGGCGTTGAAAGCCGTGCATCGTCTAACGTCGTTTCAGTTCGGCAGACTTCGGCACTCGGCAGAGTTCGGCACGGTGTTTGTGTGCGTGCGACTAGAGGTATGCGTGTACACTAGCTGCTAACTCAATGATAAAAATTCCTGAATAACCTACATGTATTGTAAGATATTAAAAATATTTTAAACAATATTAACTTCTCATTTATTCAATAAGAGAAAAAAAATTGTTTTCTTATCGGTCACCACGCTCAAAAAGTGTAACTTGATTTAATATCAAAGACTTAACTGCATAAATAAAATAAATAAATAATTATAATTGCATAAGTTGATAAAAAATGCTATGCAATAGATTTACCGCGGCAGTCACCGAGTGCCACACGTATTTTTTTTTAAATATGAATCTAAAGTGCTAAAGAACTTAAAGTCCACCCAATTGTATGTGGTCACTGCTGTCCATAGTCATCTGCGGCCAACTTCAAACAAAGAATGGGTGCTACTATCTATGCTTGGTATCCAATAATGAATAAAATTAAATACAAATTATACAGCGTTGTTACTTTCAAAGCGACAAAGATGCCTATTTTGCGAGAAAAGCAGATATGTGGTCCACCTTTAAGAACTAAGATGAAATGCATCAAAGCTAAAATTATGTGAGGTGTTAGGTCAAACATTCAGTACTGCGATCTAAAATCCGTCTGCAAAGTGTAACAATTGTGGCAAATTTTCATGAAAAAGGTGGAGATTATTTCACAGCATGTTAAGTAAACCTATTAAATAGTAAAGCTGTCATGTTGGTTTCTTTCTTTGTTATATTTTTATATAAATAATATTTTGTTATATTTTTTTTAAATAAGAATAGAAGGAGAATTAATTGAGCAAGTGGATGAGTTTGTGTATTTGGGACGTGTATTTAGCAGGGATGGTAGATATGATAGGATATAGAACGACGAGTAAATGCAGGGAATAGAATGAATGGGGCATTACACTCTATTATGAAGAACCAGAATGTGTCAAAAAAAGGCACGTATGGTAATTCATAATGCTGTGTTGGTCCCTACTTTAATGTATGGTAGTGAAAGCTGGATGTGGCAGAAGAAGCACGAAAGTAGAATAAATGCTGTATAAATGCGGTTTTTAAGGAGTATGCTAGGGTTGAATCTGAATGACAGGGTGAGAAATTGCGTGATAAGACATAAATGTGGTATGTAAGATGATGTTGAGACCAGGATTAAGAAAGAAATGCTTCGGTGGTTTGGTCAGGCAGAAAGAATGAATGAGGAAAGAGTGACAAAGCAAATTAAGCAGATGTGAATGGCAGAGTCGGGAAGGGACGCCCTAGAAAAAAGTGTATAGACCAAATTGGAGATATTTTGAAAATGGGCCGCGTTAGAAGTACCCTTAACCGACGAGCATGTGTGCGTAGATGTATAGATGTAAAGGAGGCGAAAGAGGTATGTCAGGACCCCTCTGGGTGACAGGCGTGAGTTTTTATGTTTTCTTTTTTTTTTATATTTTTATGTATCGATTAAATTATTTATTTCTGTCTTTCAAATCCTTCCAATGATAGCAGAAGCTCTTTTCAATAGTGGACTATTACGGGCTGATAAAGCTAAAAAAGCCAGTTTAATTTCATGCTATGAGGCGTTCAATCTCAGTTAAGGTTGACGCATATTTTGTATACTCTCTTTGAAGTTATTTACAGGCTTAAAATTCAGTCTATCAAAAGTCCATTGCTGAACATTGGCCTCCCCACAGATTGCCTCGTAGGGGGCATATTTGGCTTAGTTGCCACGCTTGTTGGGTCTGTTGTTAGTTCATATGAATTTTATATAATAAATTATTTATGCATTTTATTTAAGCAACATGGTACAAGTGGACAAGCACACAGACAACCAAGAGAAGTTTTACGTGATATGGGACAAGGTCTGAAGTAAGTATCTTGAAAATATATTTTTTATTCATTATTACAAGTATTATCTTTATCATCATCATCATCATCATCATCATTACAGCCTTTCACAAATCCACTGCTGAAAATAGGCCTCCCCCAAGGAATGCCACAAAACACGGTCCTGAGCCACCTGCATCCATCGACTTCCTGCATGTCTTACCAGGTCGTCACTCCATCTATGCAGTGTAGTGGCGGTTAAGAATATCCACTACCCCATATCTTCTCGTGGGTCTCGTAAAAGGCGACAGAGGGAGACAGGCAGGAGATGGGCAGCAGCATCTTCCTAATAACAACAATAATATAATAAAAAAACTGCGGTTGCCAACCCGCTCGCCAAGCGTGGCAACTATGGCAATATAACCCCTCATGAAGAAGTATTATCTATATAAACTCCTTATCTCTATCAAACTGACCGATTCTGATGAAATGTAATGAGTGATGAAAGTTTTCGTGTGTGATTGTGTGGGTCTCTGGATGGTTTACATTCACAATTGGACCCGGTAGGTGGTGCTGTTGTAAAGATCCAGAAATCACCCGTTGAATCCAGGATCTATAGGTAATAGTTGTGTAAAATTATTAGTGTATTTCTATAAACCTTTACATTTACCTCATGTGAATATTAGAATAAAAAGTAAAGTATAACAGCCTATATACATTCCATTGCTGGTTATATGTGCCTTGCCTTTTCTGAGGGGACTCGGGAGCAGGAATAATGCGAAGCACTTCTTTACTACTTACTTTTTTTTATAGGATAGGGTGACAAACGAGCACACATTCCATCTGATGGTAAGCGATTGCTGTGGCCCATAGACATCTACATCTATCCTCGATTACGAATCAAAATGCGGATGCGTTGTCATCCGTGAGGACTTAGTTGTAATGCCTCGTTTCAAGTAAAAAGGGTCTTAATATAAATTTAACTTTTAAGACATATGAGGTTAGCTGTTTCCTTCTTCCTTCAGTTCTGAACACATTAAAACAGCTAAAGGAATAGTTTCGGTCTTACGTACGAACGTGTACTTTTATAGAATAGGGGTGACAACCGAGCACACAGTCCACCTGATGGTACATTTAAGAATTATGAATCTAAACACGGATGCGTTTTCACACGTAAGGACTAAAATGAAATGCCTCGTTTCCAGTTAAAAGGGTCTCCGGTTACACTCACCATACGAACACAGCAGCATGGTCCTACCTCGGTCGAGCCTACACTTTCATGCTACAACCATAATATAGCTGCAGCGTGGTTCTACCACACATAGATTTAATCTATAACGTTTACTTGCAGAAATGTTGGTGGAAACATTCGCGATGGCATCACCGGACTTGGTGGCAGCGTAATGGCGGCGCCGCGGGAGTTCGCGCATCTTTTCTCTCGCTCTAACCGTTTCGGCTCCGCTGACAACATCGCACAACTTGCCGGTCTGTATCACAGCTAAATTGATATTACTTTTTACAGTTTATAGAAATTTTAAGTAAGTTATGCAAAAACTAGTTTGGGCCAATGGTATTTAAAGTACAGTTACATTAATCACATATCAGTCGTCTTAGCACTTTACATATTCTTATTATTTTGAGATGTTATTGGGAAGATGATGCTCCAGGGTCAGTTTTCTAACGCCCCCGGTACATGACACATTAGACGTACGTAGTTATTTTAATTAAAAAGAAAACATTTTCACAGTAGAAAAAAATGGTGGTGGTTCAAAAATATATATATATATATATATATATATATATATATATATATATATATATATAAAAGAGGGAGCAAAAGATCACGGCTCACCTGATGGTAAGTGACTACCTCCGTCCAAGAATACCTGCAACATAAGTGGGATAGATGAGATGCAAACTATGCTATTAATTTGATTTTCATTGGCTCACAAAGGTCAACTATCATTTTCTTTATATGATTTAATTATTTTGTATCTTAGTTTGACGCTTCCTACACATACATAGTTATATATTTCTAAATATGTGTCATCGTAGTATGTTAGGAACATGGTCAGGTTTTCAAGGTGATCGTACATTTGTGAGTGTTATATATGCCGCTTTTGCTGAAGGCTGGACATTAATACATCGCGTATGGTAATTATAGGTATAGGATTTAATAGGAATAGTACTTGAATGCACTTTAGCTGACATTGTTTTCTGCGTATGTGTAGTTTTAAATATCATTAGATTTGAGCTACACTCACATGGAGATGATATTTTGATAGATAATAAGCAATAATTTGTCATAATTTAGGTGAAAAAGAATTCTAAGACACTCTTTTGTCTCTTTCATATCTTAAAAAGAGACTATCCTAATCTTAGTAAAATTAGTTAGTCATACTTAAACCTTTTTTGGAGTAATGGTGTTCTAAATGTCGTGATATTTAGGTCTCTTGACTGAAAATTGAAAAATATTTTTGTAATGAGAATATTTTACAACTTGTTACTGTAAGTTCTACTTTTATATGTATATAAATATAATATCTATATTTTTAAAATATTTGTTACTGAAATACGTTTATAAATAATAATTTAAAGATCATCATCTTACATGATAAATAATAGTTTACCAAAGGGCGTTTTCATTTAAATTTAATAATTAAATTTAGATAAATGTATTATTGCAATCCCTCTTCTTAAATATAAATGTCGTATAAATAAATACAAGCATGAAGAGTATAATGAACAATAGATAACAAACATTGCCCCATAACACATAAAACGATCTGTCAAATATAACAGGAGGTCTGTGCCCGGTCGTGAAGCTTATATAGGCTGTAACTTCACTTTTTCATGAAATATATAAATAATTACAACAATATAAAAAACAACTAAATAATTATTTAAAAAAAAAGATCTACCTACTAAAAGCATAAAATTATAAAAGATTTCTAAAATAATGTTAATAAAAGTATCAATTTAAATATAAACCAATGTCCAGTATTATTGGTCATGGTTCAAATTTATGTACGACCACTGTAAAAGTATACTTTATTGTACTTACTTACTATATTTATTATATATAAAAAAATAGAAAAGTAAGTTTACTAACGTCGGAGATGTCGCGTAACATATGGATTAAACTCACAGAATATCAGCGTGAAATAGCAATTTCATGCTGCTGTGTCCATACGAAAGTATGGAGAGTGTAGAGAACTGGAGACTTTATACTGGAAACGACGCATTCTGTCTTGGGTGCATTGTAGAGGTGACAACGCATCTGCATTTTCATTCTAGATCGAAGATAGATGTAGATGTGTATGGGCCACAGCATCCTTAATCTATAAAAAATATTCGAAATGATAACCTCTTCTTTTAAAGCTTCTTCAAAAATATATATCAAGGTTAAAATTTAGCACAGATAGTATTTCTGTAAGAAATAACATGAAACGCTTTCCTTTCGAAATCTTTCCTTCATTTTATTATAATTGGCCGGGTTTCCTACATATGCATGGCTTGTATTCCGAAATAAATCAAGTCAGTTTTTATTGCTTGCGTGTGGTAACAATTATGATATGTTTAATGAGTTTATAAATCACGTTTTCATGTTATTTACATAAAAGAATATATATGTATCATATGCTGTCACCTATTTCTTTTGGCTAAATATATACATTTTAATTCAAATATTTTGTCTCGCAGAGAACACGGGTCCTTGTAAGTATACCGCGCATTACATAGTATCATTCGTCACTAACTATTTCATTTCCATATGGTTTTAACATTCTAATTACTTGGTTTTTTGTATAGCGTTTATAATCCTTCCATTGGTAAACACCTTATTTTTTGTTTTTAGTCACATGTGTTTTTTTTTAAATTTAACTTAATTATTTACTGACATGCATTTGGCGCCAATTAATAAAATGTCTCTAATCTGTGGTGATGTAGGTGCAGGCATAAAATTTCGTTTTATTAATATCTATGTCGTTCCATGGATGTATGTATAGGAAATGTTAGGTAGATCTTATCTCTTAAGATAATATAGACGCTGTTATAAACCATCTTTTAAGTAGGATGATCATTTTGTATGAGATATAAAATATTCTGGAATTGCGAGACATTTGGTGCTGTGATTACCAATTCGCCAGTTGAGATAAGTAATTATGGCAAATCAGGCTAATGAAATGATGAGGAAGCTCGAGGTGAGAGGGCTATGCTCGGGGTTTCTCTGCGTGATAGACTTAAAAACGAGGATATCCGCAGTATAACCAGGGTGACCGGCATAGCCCAAAGGATTAGTAATCTGAAGTGGCAATGGGCCGGCCTATAGCTTGAAGAACCGACAACCGGTGGGGAAAAAGGTTCTAAAGTGGCAACCTCGTACCGGTAGGCGAAGTGTAGGGCGATCTCCCAATAGATGTAGTGACGACCTGGTAAGACATGCAGAAAGTCGATAGATGCAGGTGGCTCAGGACCGTGCTTGTGGCATTCCTTGGGGGAGGCCTATGTTCAACAGTGGACTTGTGAAGGGCTGTAATGATGATGATGATATCTGTAAACTTATTATGCATAAGAATTTAAAAAAAATTGTAAAACTTACTTCCCTTAATAGCGCGCACTATCCCCGTCAACACTAATCCCTATACCACTACTCCTAACACCACTACACTAGGAAAGACATACTACCGTCGATAATACAACATCCGTTGGAATGCTTACAAAGTTAAGAAATAATCCAATTATATTTTTAATGTATTGCAGCGTTTGATATATTCTTTTTTGCTAAAGGCCATGTAGTCTTACTCTATTAAGCGAAAAAAAAAACAATAAAAAATGAAGGTGCGTCTTGTACATTTCAAGTGACGCAAAAACTAAGCCCAAACCATTCTCAACTTATTGTAAAATCGCGCTCGTACACTTATGCATCTAAAATCATATTTGCAACCAGCAACATCGTTTTAAGAACATTGTGGGTCTAACATTTGTGCGTCTAATAGTGCACTTTTACGGGCTTTAGGAAAGAAAACATAAAGACGTGTGCGTGCGTGACTGCGTGCTAGAAATTGTAGTTTCGCTTAACTATTACGCAATATTATCACTTAAATATTACGCAGCGCTTTTTCTATATTTCTTGTTCGTTTGAATATATAAATAAAATTAATAATTTGGCGCCAAATTTTAGTATATTTTCACGCAGAGCAAGTAGTGTTTGTATATTACTTATCAATGCACTAATGTGTATTAATTATTTGCTTACTCAGCTAAAGAAAACTAACATTTAAATAGCTTTTTTATTACGTGTTTGTTGTACCTACCTGGAAAGAATTTCTCAAACATATCTCTATTTCACCACAATGCGACGGTCATGGCTAATTTAGTTAGATTCCTTTAGTTCAGATATCGAATCCTAATATTTTCAACACAAATAAATGATAAATATAACTTTATTGTACACCATATACAAAAATTGAAAAAATAACTAATACTACGCTCGAACCTTTTTCCTATATATGTATCTCGTTTGGAACTCCCAAATCGTAGTATTTTATATAGGTCTTTGTATTTACTGCTTGTCTCTAACCTACAATCTTTATACTATCTACGGTTCATATATTGAGCTCTGTTGACAACAACTACGAATACAGTACACTATTCCAAATTATTAATTAAATTAATTATTGAATTGATTTAATTTTGTATTTTACAAATAACCTTCACCGTACCGTAATCTGACGTCAGTTCCTCAGTTATAACGTAAATATTACTGGAACGTTTACATAACATTCATTGATAAACATCAACATAGAGATAACACGCACTCGCTCTCGCTCATAGTTCTGTCAATGTCAAGAGCATTCACACGTAAATGCTTAGCGGGACTTTATGAATAATGTTTGTATAGTTTGTTTTAGTGCGTTTATTATTATGTTCTTTCGGAAGTGTAAGAAATGCCGTAAGAAATGTAACTATATAAAAATATTATATTTATTGGGTGCGTTTGGCAGAAAAAAGCGCTAGCAAGCGCTTGTAAGCAAAATGGCGATCGTAAGCGGTAAGCGCTGTCAAATCGTAAGTAGCTATTTTCCTCTAGGACACGAAGTTAGTTTTAACCGGGGAACCTAACCTAATTTAAATATATGTTTGTAAAGTATTCATATTAAAAACTTACTAATCATGAATTTTTAATAACGTGTATATGTTTATTCATGTCATTATATTACTTAAAACTAATATTGCACAAAACAACTTATAAACTCTACGTCAAAACAAACAAATTAAATAAGCAAAATGGCGGATTGTGTCAGCGCTACTGAAGTAGCAATCGTGTCCTGGCCGAAAACTATTTCAGCGCTTGTAAGCGCTTGCTAGCGCTTTTTTCTGCCAAACGCACCCAAAGTTATATGTTTTTATTCGGTCTTTAAAAGAACTACAATAACGTTAAACCTAAAGTTAAAACTTATTCTAACAAATTAATTCTTATGTGCTATTTTTAACTTCGTTATTACTGCTATCATCACGAATTAAGGCGTAAATATTTCGCTATATTACATACCATATTCATTATCAATTCTTTTTAATAGAATTACTTTTAATATTAACATAAAATATACTTCACCGTTTTAACCATATTTAGATACAGTAGCGTCTTATCCATTTCTGAATCGAGAGACACACGAGCATCACATTATGGAATGACATTTTTGTACATAGCTTGTTTTCACATATGTGCATATACAATTTATACATCCTATATAACTTGCTTATGGTGTTGTCTCGTTCTTGCACGCTAGCCCCACAACACGCGGAACTGAGAGGTAAATATACGCAAATTTTTATAGTTGTGTCATATGTCTGTTGCTATTGTATTTATTGGGTATGTTCCGAAATACAACGCAGTGTACTGTCCAGTGCAAATGACGTCATCATTTGACACTTTATTGTACTAGCGTGCCGCCGCCATATTGTGTCGGATATCCGGCCATAATAAAACAATTTTTAATTGTGTGTTTGCCGAATGAAGCATGCCAGAATTTGTTTCTAATTATTCAAATACAAAAAATTATAGAATAATTGATGGTTATCCATTAGATATAATGATTTTTGGAGCACAAAATGACAAAATAATCGCCAACACTTTTCCAACTGGCGCAAAAGTATGACGTCATATACTGTCTAATGTTTTGGAACGAATCACCAGTATAGCGTCGATTCATGACGTCATTTGCATTGGACAGTACACTGCGTTGTATTTCGGAACATACCCATTATTAACATGTTACCATGCTTTTTTGCATTACCTTACTAATTCACTATATCTTTGCGTTGTATTCTTGACGATTAATTTTTTGTTAGCTATCTGCAACTATTTTAAATATTTATATAATATAAATTGTTATGCTTTACTAAATTTATAATTTTGTATGAGCATGTAATGATACTGCGAGTTTGTAAATGCATTAATAATATTATACTAGCATTCATATTGCGGTATTTATTACGTTACAAATAAAATTGTATAAAACAATAAATTTAAATACAGTAATTTTATATTATAAACGTTTAATGTATATAAATTTATTAAAAGTATTGTGTATCTATCGGTTGGTTTGTAAATGTTATGTACTAATTCCATATCAAAGCACTATGTCTATGTTCTTATTTAAAGTGTATGTAATGCAAATGTTATGGCGGGGAAGACGCACATTACAAATTATGTAGTATTTTTTTTTAAATTAGTAACAAGTTTATGGAATACAGTAGCCCCTTACCATAAATTAGGCTGTTAGGTTGTAAATGATAATTGTAAATAAAAAAAATGTAAAAATTAAATTTACTTCAATTTATATATTTTTTTATTTTATATTTGTTGATTCCTTATTTTACTAAAGCTTATATTACTTCTTGAACGGATTTGGAAAGAATAAATATCCCAATTGGTTGTTAATTTACAGAAAAAAAATTTACAAATTTTTTATCAGCAAATATTGGACTGTAAATATTTTCTGCAAATATTTCAACAAAGACTGAAACACATATTAGCAGTTAATGTTAATTGTGTGGGTGGCTGCAAACTCGGAAACTTGTCCAAATCGGCAAACGATGGACCACCCCTAACAAAAGAATTTTAGGTTTATTTGGAGTGATAAAAGGCAGTATTTAAATTGTTAATAGCGTTACTATTTTATTTTGGAAAATTAGCTTCTGAGGTGGGTGTTACGACGAAGTAGCAAAATTAATTCACGCATAACAATGCGTGAATTACTTTATTCTTTCTAGTTGTGTTTGTTCTGTTTTTCAAACCTTACAACCATTACAATGGGTTTACAATCATTGGGAAAGATATTGCGTTACAATTATATAACAAAAAAAAGACAAAAATAATAGGTAGTCAAATTGAGAATCTCCTCATTTTTCAAGTCGGCTCGTTATTTAAAAAAAAGGAAGTGATTTAAAAATTTATCCGTGCTCATGAATTAGGACGATTGCTTATTATTATTCAAAGTTTCATTAATTTTTAATAATGATTTGGAGAATTATAGCAGTAACATTATATATAATTTATCTATATGTACAAATGCCAAGTTAAAAACACACCATTAGATAATACCAAATTAGTGGGAGATTAGTGTGCAATAATTTATACGATAGCCTAATTACTTTATACTATAGTGACAAACAAGCTTAAAGTTCATTTTGTCAACTTTACAATGATTACAAATGATATATATCTTTTTCTTAAAAAAAAATTGTTGCATTGAAGGAGAAATTTTTGTGAAGGTCGCTTACGAATATATCCGAGATGCAATACACACATATTTGAATGGAATTTTAACGATCTATTGCTGTCGCGCTCTGTCCGACCGGCCGAACTAGACGACCGAGAGAAACAACTGTAGCTTTGATTTTTGACCGACTATACCTATGAAAAATTAACAAAATCACAATGGGTGCGTTTGGCAGAAAAAAGCGCTAGCAAGCGCTTGTAAGCAAAATGGCGATCGTAAGCGGTAAGCGCTGTCAAATAGTAAGTAGCTATTTTCCTCTAGGAAACGATGTTAGTTTTAACCAGGGAACCTAACCTAATTTAAATATATGTTTGTGAAGTATTTATATTAAAACTTACCAATCATGAATTTTTAATAACATGTACCTATATGTCTATTCATGTCATTATATCACTTAAAACTAATATTGCAAAAAAAAACAACTTATAAACTCTACTTCAAAACAAACAAATTAAATAAGCAAAATGGCGGATTGTGTCAGCGATACTGAAGTAGCAATCGTGTCCTGGCGGAAAACTATTTTAGCGCTAGTAAGCGCTTGCTAGCGCTTTTTTCTGCCAAACGCGCCCAACGTCATATTCCTCTGTTTTTTTGTTCCAAATTCAATTTTTTGAAAGCATTATAGGAAGGTGGCTATGACTGTATGTTTTTATTTTATTTTTATGTTTGTTAAATTTTTAAATATAGATTGAATTGTAAAAAAAAGATATTAGCTGTACCTAGAGTTATTATCCATGGTGAAAACAGAAGAGAACGTTTGTATGAACTAAACACCGCCCGGATGTCCTCTTAAAATGGTATATGTTTGATCAATCTTTGGGCTGTTGAAGAATATAAAATTACGATAATTATATCATTTGATCTTAACACAGTGAAAATATTACAATTGACGACGCATTTTGTCCCAGCTACTGTGTATAAGTAATTAAGTAAATATTTTCTTGAACCGTGTGGTATAACAGAATCCATATTACCCCAATTCTATCTTTTGGTGCCGTAAAAGTTGAGTAATAAATACCTACCATCCTATCGGTGATAGAATGTAGGATTACCATCTAAATAATGATAAAGAAATAAATTAAAAGGTGCTAACTATGGCGAAAAGTATAAGTCGGCAACACGCAACGGCATCAAACAAAATTTAAATTTGCGTTGCGAAGGCAATGGCGCAATGGGTAATATGAGAATAGCCAGGGCTTAGCAATGACATTGAGTAACTTGCTTTAATATTGACAATATGGAACTGATAAATTTACTAAATAAATCAAATTTGATTTCACCGTTAGAAAGGTTTCGTTCCAGATGCTTAAACGGCATAAGTAAATGATTTTTATGTATTGGGTAAAGCATGCGAGACAGTTGATACAATATCACATAAATAATTAAATTTAAACTCGTTTTCCTACAGATCATAATAATATATATTTATAAAAACATAAAAACTATGAAACATTCACATATATTCGTACTCATTATAATATGTAATAGCCAGGGCTTAGCAATGACATTGAGTAACTTGCTTTAATATTGACAATATGGAACTGATAAATTTACTAAATAAATCAAATTTGATTTCACCGTTAGAAAGGTTTCGTTCCAGATGCTTAAACGGCATAAGTAAATGATTTTTATATATTGGGTAAAGCATGCGAGACAGTTGATACAATATCACATAAATAATTAAATTTAAACTCGTTTTCCTACAGATCATAATAATATATATTTATAAAAACATAAAAACTATGAAACATTCACATATATTCGTACTCATTATAATATGTAATAGCCAGGGCTTAGCAATGACATTGAGTAACTTGCTTTAATATTGACAATATGGAACTGATAAATTTACTAAATAAATCAAATTTGATTTCACCGTTAGAAAGGTTTCGTTCCAGATGATCAAACGGCATAAGTAAATGATTTTTATATATTGGGTAAAGCATGCGAGACAGTTGATACAATATCACATAAATAATTTTAAACTCGTTTTCCTACAGATCATAATAATATATATTTACAAAAACATAAAAACTATAAAACATTCACATATATTCAAACTCATTATAATATGTAATAATCGAAAATTCTCTTAAGGTGATTTTTATTATGCTTTTCAAACACAAAGCTAACCTAAAATAAAACATCTAGGTGTGTTATAATTACTTAATCAACTATGTAACTATTACCTAATTAATATAACTACTATGTATAAATAAATGCTTCTAAAGATTTTCTGCTTCGGAAGCGATTGCAACAGCGGCGTTGCGTCACCTCGGCTCCATTAAAACAAAAGCTATTAAATTTAGAATTATTTTTTGCTACAATAACTCCTGCCACTCTTAACACGTCCTATTATATACCACATTGCCCGTATTGAGTGTTGCTACAACATGGCAGCGAACGCGTCGTCTGAAGGCTCCCGGGCTTCCGAAGTGGGCGAAGCAACAGCACCACGCGGCTCCACTTTACCGAGAGCGGCGACTTCGCCAGCGCCCAAATACTCGCCCGATGCATCACCGAGTTCGTCCGTCACTAGTGAAGGCGCGCCGTAAGTTATTAGACCATAATTTATACCACTTAAAACATTCCATATCCCAACTATGATGCTGACAATGTAGTGATTATAAGTATAAATATTGAAGAACTTATAATGAAAACGGAAGAAAGGTATTTACAAGTGCATTGTGGGTTGACGACACGCCGTAGATATAGCAATGACTTGATGCTTGCAGGAAATCGATCGATACAGGTGGCCTAGGACCGTGCTGTGTAAAGGTATATGGGGATGGCTTATATTCACGATTCGTGACCATACGGCGACCATATTATGGTTCAATATGATGCTTTCATTATTCGTCAATAATATGCTCTCGAAGCTGTACGAATTAATTTTATTGCGTGCGTCACCACTTACAGCTTACACTGACAGCTGTACTCAGCTATATTATGGTTGCACCTGAATGGTTCCACTCACTCGGGATAGGATCACACTCTCACAAAATACTAGCGTTAAATACCTGCATAATGCTTCATATGATGAATGCAAAAAAACAGCAAACGCTTTTTTACTGGTAAGGAGACAATCCATCATACCAGTGCTACTAGTAAAATAAATATGTTTAAGACTCAAAATAAAGGCTCCACTAGAGGCTCTTAGCATTTTTTTCGATTGACAGATCTTCGTGTTTTTGTAACGTATTCATGGTATGCAATAATCGCCGTTTGAAGCGTTAACTTTTTATTCAGAACATATACAAATCTATTAATTGCTTTAGAAAACCACGTCTATGTGTGTCTTCTAATTATTTTTTATCTTCAATTAATCCTAGAATCTTAATCTGTTCGTTTATATTTAAATCATCATTATTAAATTATTTTATTTTAAGCTTAGGTTTGCTTAAGTTTTTGTTACAAAACTGATTACTTTCAATTAGTTTTAGATATGTTCACTTTCAAATAGTTATACTAGGTTATCATTTACTGCGCTCTTTATATCCTATTCATTCTAATTAATATCCGTGTCTATTATGAACTATGAATGATAAATAAATAGTAAAATAAATAAAAATACATTTATTTCCCAATAAACTTTTTCATAAATTAAATGTAATTTTTAATAATGATATGTCGTCCGCAAACATTACGGAAGGAATGGAAGTAGAATCAGGTAATTCATTACTGTAAATTATTTATTAGATGGGTCCGACTACATGTCCTAGGGGCACAGCAGTCAATAAGCATCAGCTAAAATCTGAATGATTTTAAAATATTTGGTCTTTTTAATTAGTATATGAGTATTAGTCATTCAGAATTTCGTTTGCTAAATCTATACAAATCAATAAAATTGGAGTGAGAAAACACATTTATTTAAATTTTTGTATGTATGTCTGTCTGTTGGTTCCAGCTAATCTCCGAAACAGCTGGACGATTATGACGGGACTTTCACTGTCAGATAGCTGATGTTATAAGGAGTGTAACTTAGGCTACTTTTATTTTAGAAAAATAATTAGGGTTCCACGCAAAAAATCTAAAACTAAGTTACGCGCGGGCTAAGTCGCGGGGAACATCTAGTGACAAATAAGATTGCAACCAAATCTGTATCAATCCTCATAAACCACTTTCTAATTCACATTCCTATTAAAAAGTTAGTTATTTTACATTTGTAAACATAATCTCAATTGTTACTGTTTTTATTTCTTACAATTTCTAAAAAAAAAAACAGATCTTAAAAACCAAAAAATTCTAATATCAATTTATCAGTTAAATTATAAACATTAACGTTTGCAGATACCAGACGCAGCAGGGATCAAATAACTTAACAGAAGCGGCGTTTTCCATAAAACCCATTCTGAACGAGTTACGCGAGCGCAGAGAGGACTACGAGCGGCTCGCTGAGAAAATAGATGCACTTAAAGTAAGCTTTTGACTTTTCTTGTGAAAGTTCAGTTTCTCTACTTAGGGAACTTACAATGGGTGCGTTTGGCAGAAAAAAGCGCTAGCAAGCACTTGTAAGCAAAATGGCGATCGTAAGCGGTAAGCGCTGTCAAATCGTAAGTAGCTATTTTCCTCCAGGACACGATGTTAGTTTTAACCGGGGAACCTAACCTAATTTAAATATATGTTTGTAAAGTATTCATATTAAAAAATTACCAATCATGAATTTTTAATAACATGTACTTATATGTTTATTCATGTCATTATATTACTAAAAACTAATATTGCACAGAACAACTTATAAACTCTACTTCAAAACAAACAAAATAAATAAGCAAAATGGCGGATTGTGTCAGCGCTACTGAAGTAGCAATCGTGTCCTGGCCGAAAACTATTTCAGCGCTTATAAGCGCTTGCTAGCGCTTTTTTCTGCCAAACGCACCCAATACAACGATTCGATAGATGTAGATTGCTCAGGACTGTTCGTGAGAGGATTTGCAAGCATAATTATACGTGACATTTTTATACAACATTTTTAAACGTATAGTTGTAGCACGAATGGGTTGGCTCGACCGGGGAAGGACCACGCTCTCACAGAATACCAGCGTAAAATGTAGCTTAATGCTGCTGTGTTTCGTCTGGTAAGTGTAGAGAACTTTTTACTGGAAACGAGGCATTCCGTCTTCCTCACGGGTGACAACGCATCTGCATTTTGATTCGTAATCGAGGGTAGATGTAGATGTCTATGGGCCACAGCAACCACTTACCATCAGGAGGACTGTGTGCTCGTTTGTTGTGTGCACCCTATCCTATAAAAAAATTACATAATTGTTATTTTTTACAGAATCTATCGCAAGAGGTGTCATTTTTGTCGGCCGCGCTTCAAGAGGAGCGATTCAAGACGGAACGTCTTGAAGAGCAAATTAATGATCTCACTGAATTACATCAAAATGAGGTACGTCATTAAAGTAAAGGTACAGCCTATATACGTCCCACTGTTGGGCAGAGGCCTACCCCAAATTTCTGACAGTGTTTTAGGACAAAACTGCTCCATGCGTGTTAGTGGACTTCACATGTCTTCGAAATATGTTTTTGTCTTATTTCTCAAACATGCAGGTTTCCTCACGATGTTCTCCTTCACCGGCGAGCACGTGGTAAATGAGCACTTAAAATTGCAATTAACAATTTCATTGGTGTCGGTGGGGATCGCAACCGGTTTGCTCGCGTACTGCGAAATTCACAGCAAGCGCAAACCATCTGAGCTACCACGACTCGGGTACGTCCTTGTCGACAATTAAATGTATTTTTAATGATCACTCATCACACACATACTATTTAATTGGTTATACGCTTCTTATTAATCATTAATAGAATCAGGCATTCATCATCATCATCATTACATCCCTTTACAAGTCCACTGCTGAACATAGGCCTCCCCCAAGGTATGCCACAAAGCACGGTCCTGAGCCACCTGCATCCATCGACTTCCTGCGTGTCTTACCAGGTCGTCACTCCATCTAGTGGGGGTTCGCCCTACACTTCGCCTACCGGTACGAGGCTGCCACTAGAAAACCTTTCTTCCCCATCGGTTATCGGTTCTTCGAGCTATATGGCCGGCCCATTGCCACTTTAGCTTACTAATCCGTTGGGCTATGTCGGTCACTCTGGTTCTATTACGGATATCCTCATTTCTAAGTTTATCACGCAGAGAAACTCCGAGCATAGCCATCTCCATAGCTCGCTAAGCGACTTTGAGCGTCCTCATACTGCCAGCAGTGAAGGACCACGTCTCAGTTCCATATGTCATCACTGGCAACACGCACTGGTTGTACAACTTAGTTTTCAGGTTTTGAGGTATACCTGACGAGAAGATGTGTCGTAATTTCCTGAACGCTGCCCAGCCGAGTTGAATCCGTCGATTGACCTCTCGGTCGAAGTTGGACTTATCTAGCCGGACTATTTGTCCTAGGTAAACGTACTCGTCAACAACTTCGAGCTTAGTGCTCCCAACAACTACCGGCATAGGTGTGACATGGACATTTTTTTTTTATAGAAGAGGGGGCAAACGAGCATGTGGCTCACCTGATGTTAAGTGACTACCGCCGCCCATGATCAACCGCAACACCAGGGGAATTGCAGGTGCGTTGCCGGCCCTTTAGAAAGGAGTAAGCTCTTTTCTTGAAGGTCCCCAGGTCGTATCGGTCCGGAAAAATCACCGGTGGTAAATTATTCCACCATTATTAAATTATATATAATTAATAATGGTGGAATAATTTACCGGTGGTAAATTATTCCACCATTATTAATTATATTCATTATTAAATTATGTTAATATAAGGAAGGATCTAAATGAAATTGATTGGAGGGAAATTTTGGGTGAATGTCTTTGTGTTGATGATATGGTTGCAGTATTTTATGACATAATTCGTAAGTTAATACGGAAATATGTACCTAAGGCTAAACCGCGTAGTCATAAATACCCAGTTTGGTTTACTCCGTGTCTGATAAAATGTATTAAAGAAAAATATAAATATAGGATGAAAGTTCGCAAATATAACAATCCTCGCGATAAACTCTGTTTTGACTTACTGAAAAGAAGATGTGAGGATATGCTAGCATACTCCTACGCTAAGTATATAGAATGCCTTGAACTCTCTTTAAAGTCTAACCCAAAGTTGATTTGGTCATTCCTAAAACAAAAGAAAGGTAAAAGTTCGTATCCTTCTAAAATTAAAGACGATAATAAATTTGTTTCCAATGGAACAGACATTTGTAATGTTTTCGCTAGTCATTTTTCGTCAGTATACAGTCGCAATAATAATATCCAAAACTTCGATACTAGTCCTAATCTTATGAACCCTTGTTGCAATGTGTACCTTGATTATATATCTTATACAGTGGACCAGGTTTACAATGTTTTAAAAAGACTTGACATTAAGAAAGGAGCTGGAGCAGATGGCATTCCATCAATATTTGTACGCAATTGCGCTAACGCATTGGCTTTGCCTATTGCACTGATAATCAATAGATCTCTTAGGACTAGTACATATCCAACCTTATGGAAAGAAGCCCTTGTGTTGCCTTTGTTCAAAACTGGTGACAAAGAGGAAGCTAAAAATTATAGACCTATTTCCATTATTTCTGTTTTTTCAAAAGTGTTTGAGAAACTTGTATGTCCCGTTGTTTCATGGCACTTTAAGCAATTTGTTACATCTGAACAGCATGGGTTTGTGAAAGCTCGATCAACAGTAACTAACCTAGTTTCCTTTGTGGAAGACATTACTGAATCTCTTGATACTGGTCAATCCGTTGATGCAATCTACACAGATTTCAGTAAGGCCTTTGACAAGGTTGATCACTCTATTTTACTTGCCAAACTCAAAAGGATAGGTATAGCCAACCCTTTGCTGGACTGGTTTAAGTCATATCTTGCCAATCGATCGTCAACTGTTGTTGTTGATGGTTATGCTTCTGAGCCGTTTATTGCCTATACTGGCGTACCTCAAGGATCTCATCTTGGGCCTTTGCTGTTTAACATTTTCATCAACGACATCAGTAATTGCTTTAAGAATTCGAAATCTTATTTGTTTGCTGACGATCTAAAGATCTTTAGACCTGTCTCCTCAAATTCTGATGCAGAATTCTTACAGGAAGACTTAAATAACTTGACATTATGGTGTCGTAGCAACGGTATGACACTAAATGCTGACAAGTGTCATGTTATAAAATTTTCTAGAAAGAAAACATCTCTTGCAACAACATATTACATTAATGGTCGTATTCTGTCTGAAGTTCCTCACATACGCGATTTAGGAGTTATGCTTGACAATAAGCTTCGTTATAATATCCACATAGATAATGTTGTCAACAAGGGTTTTAGGACTCTTGGCTTCCTCTTCCGTAACTGTAAGCAATTCAGGGATACTCGCACTAAAATAATTATTTACTCAGCCATGGTACGAAGTATCTTGGAATACTGCAGCGTAGTATGGAATCCCCACTTTAATATTTACTCACATAGAATTGAAAGGATACAAAAGAGATTTCTTTTGCATTTATCTTACGATCATAACCTAGTTAAAACTCTTAGAACTTACGAAGATAAGCTAAATTACTTTAAGCTTCAGCCACTTTCGAATCGAAGACAGCTCCTTGACCTAATTTTCTTGTATAAGTTGGTGAATGGCGTCATTGATAGTTCTTACTTACTAGCCAAATTAAATTTTCGTACCGCATTGAAGTCAAAAAGGCCGTCGTCTTATATACCATTCGTAGAAAAGAGCACACGTTCTCGTCAAGCGCGCTATTCTCCGATTAATAGACTGATGTTGAGTTTTAATGCTATATATAAATTATCACATAAGAATAGTATTGGTGCCATAATGACTAATGATAACAAAAATAAAGATAGAAAAGTTGATATTGACATATTTTCAGATAATTTTTGGAAATTTAAACGTGATTTATTACATTTATATTCCTCAAATAATTGTAATTCACAGTAAAATTATATTATTTTTCTTTAAGCTAAATTGTGATTAGGAAATGATTGTATATTATAATTTATTAATGATTTTATTTTTGTTATGTTTAACGTTCATAAAATTTCTAATGTTAATAACAATAGTGGAATATGCATGATTTAATTTAATTAATTATATAACACTAAATTCTGATATATTTATTGATCTCTTAATTTTTGTATTCAATTTAATTCACTGCATATGTTTTACTTGTGTCTATTTTTTTGTAATGAAATGTGTGTAACACCTATAATTAAGTCTACGCTTAGTTTTTATGATTTTTTGCAAAAATATTATGCTTTTGTTAGTGTATGTCTTGTTGGTGTTAAATAAATAAATAAATAAATAAATAAATAAATTCCACAGAGAGGTTGTACGCGGAAGAAAACTCCTTTTGAAACGTACAGTGGTGGACCGCCAAGCATCCAGATGGTGTGGATGGTATCGGGACGTTTGCCGCGTAGTGCGTTCACGAAATTTGGCGGCTGGGATTAATCCGAACAATTCCTCAGAGCACTCCCCGTGATAGATGCGATAAAATACGCAAAGAGATGCAACATCTCTTCGCAGCGCCAGTGAATCGAGCCGATCGGAAAGCACTCGGTCGTCGACGATTCGAGCCGCTCTGCGCTGGATGCGGTCAAGTGGAAGGAGCTGGTACTGGGGAGCCCCAGCCCAGAGATGGGAACAGTATTCCATGAGCGGCCGAACCTGCGCCTTGTAAAGTTGCAGGTGGTGTGGCGGCATGAAATACTGTTCCGCTCTGCTGAGCACGCCAAGCTTTTTAGAGGCCAATTTGGCCTTCCCTTCCAAGTGACCACGAAACTGCACGTCACTCGATATGTCGACGCCGAGGATTCCGATACTGGCTGAGGCAACAAGGGGAGTGCCTTGAAACTGAGGGGATACGACAAAGGGGTTCTTTTTAGCGGTTAACGCGCAAACATTAAACATGATCTTTGTTTTGTCCATAGACCTATCCGTTGGGAGGCACTATTGAGCTCATTGAGCATAGTGCTTAAGTCCTCCAGCGATTCTGCCATAAGGACTATATCCATGCCATAAGAATCAGGCATTACTTTATTGAAATCCATTATTTGAAATATTAAAAATTAATTAGCTGACATCTGCCTCATAAAATAAAGGGATGTGTCTTACCTAGTATGAAGAGCACCTGCCGCCCTCAATTGCGTCCTTTATCCCTGTTACTATTCATCCCAACACAATGTCACTAGGATAGTCATATCACCGTCATCATCGAGACAAATACACTCGGCTGACTCCCAATACTTCTTAGACTTTACGGTGGACGGGAGGTGTTCTTCAAACAGGTAAAATATACTTTTTTACGCGAATCTTGGCTAATTATTTTTAACATCCTTAACACTTGGGATGCGTCTGATTTGATCACCAGGAAAGTCACACCACCGTCGATAATACGACATGTTTTGCCTCTAAATGAGGCATCATCGAGAAAAATCATAGAATACTATATAGAATACTAATACACAATAGAATGGCTGTCAACCTTATTTTGTACCGAGGTTCGGCGTCGCCGGGAGCACACATACAAGCAATTACGTCGTATTATCAATTAATCACTACTACAAACCCGATTCGCTGTGTTGACAGACGGATTTTAATACATATTTATTTGTAAATAGCGTGCAATTTGGCATTTTCTAAATAATTTGCATGCGAAATTTGGAAACGATTTTATCGTCAAAACACGTTTCGTGTTGACATTTATACGTGTGAATTGACGTCTTGTGGCATTTTAGTGGCTACACGGGCTCTGCACACACCACCGTTCTATTATGTATGTATTATAGTAGTCTATGAGAAAAATGCACTAGTCTGACCGCTAAGAATTCTTAGACTTAACGGTGGGTGGAAGGTGTTCTTCAAACTGGTAAAACACACTTTTTTTACACGGATCTTGGCTGATTATTTTTAACATCTACACTTGGGATCCGTCTGGTTTGGTCACCAGAAAAGTCACACCACCGTCGTTCCTCCTAATAGGCCTCTTCCAAAATATTAATATAGTAATGACTATTATTTTTAATTTATTTCAGGTGGAAAATCTAAAACAAGCTTTAACAGACGTGGAAGAGAAGGTTCAATATCAAAGTGAAGAAAGAATAAGAGACATACACGAAGCCCTTGATCTATGCCAAACGAAAGTAAGTCAATGATTGGACAGTAATTATGTTAAACACCCGTATAAGTTGTGTTGAGTACTGTTGTTACTCAAACATTTTTGGCGGTGGATGGAAACGGGGAGATCTCCTGCCGGGCAAGGTTTTCTTCCCGGGGAGCGGCCAACGCTCCGTGTGATAGTTTGGAGCTATTCTATATATACTGTTTAAATTCGGAACTTTGTTAGCGCGATTTAGGCTTCGATGTGTTTTCGCTTGTGGCGCGACGACAGCGCCGCCACACATTAATCGCCCTGTTGTTTCCATTAACACAGTTTAATATTAACCAAAAACTATAACGATATATGCGTATCAGTCGCGTAAAAAAAATTAAACTGACGAAACATACACCATCGCTTCAACAATTTCCTACTGCGGGAAGACTTTATAAGAAGAACCAGCAAGAAATTAACAAGCAGACTATTTTTAACTAGGGGATCGATTCTGTAAATTTCATTCAAAATATCAAATCGTTTACAAACAGGTTCAGAACACTATGCATTAAAAAATCAACAGCTAGCGGTATCTCAGATGTAAGTAACCCTCATGATCTGTCAACCCAACTTGTGGACAAGACCCAATTTACAAGTTTTTGCCTGTTGGAAACAGATAACCAAGAGGTAAATGACATTTCTATGAGCCTGAAATCAAACAGTGCTCCTGGTTATGACCATGTTCGGGCTACATTTTTGAAACTAGCTCGGTATTTACTGGTACCCGTCATCTGCTACCTTACCAACTGTTGTTTTAGGAAAGGACTCCATCCCAAGCTTATTAAAACGAGTTATTGTTACCCCGGTGCACAGGGGTGGAAATAAGGAGGATGTTAATAATTACAGGCCTATCTCGGTGCTTCCTTGACTGTCCAAAATACTAGAGACGCTTATTAATAATGGACTGGCAACCTACCTAAAAAAAATATACAATATCAGTAGAATCCCAATACGGCTTCTAATCAGGAAATCTACCCAGGATGCTGTTATGTCCCTAACATCACTTATAACTAATCGGTTGGACAGTGGAGGCAATTGCTTAACAATATTTTTACATTTGAAGAAAGCCTTTGACACCGTCTCTTTTACCATTCTTATGCGAAAACTAGAAAAAATTGGTGTTAGAGGCACTCCATTAAATTTAATCAAAAATTATCTGAGTGGCAGAAAGCAGAAAGTTAAAGTGGGTAGTTTTGTGAGTAGCGATGCTGACTTAACTTTTGGGGTACCACATGGCTCAGTTTTTGGGCCCACCTTATTCCTAATTCACATGAATGAGCTTTGCAGTATGCCCCTAAACTGTACCAAAATCCTCTCTTACGCTGATGATACTGCCATGGTCATTACTGGCAACTCCTGGGACTCTATTAAAAGGAACGCGGAATCGGCACTTTTTACTACTGCTCTATGGCTAAGATTAAACCTACTTTCGCTAAATACAATAAAGACTAACTTTATGTGTTTCTCCATAAGCAATAGAATCCAGCCAAAACCAGATTACAGTCTCACGAAACATAATTGCCGTTGTCCATGCATCAAGCTGCAACTGTTCTATTATTGTCAAAGTGAACTCCACAAAATATCTGGGAGTGATGATTGACGACAAACTCTCATGGCACGCTCACACTGACTTAATTACAAGTCGAACCAGAAAATTAAACTGGATTTTTTAAATATTGTGACATTCTGCGAATAAGGAGCTTTTAAAACGCATCTATGTTGCCTTGGCACAGTCTAGTACTAGAGCAGCGCGCACTTTTGAAAGTCATGTTCTTCAAAAATTGTAGGTTCCACATCCATGCCCTCTATGTCTTAGCTGCTAAGGCTTAACAGATTTGTTGTCACTTCGTAAATTATATATCCTGCTTACTGTTGTTAAAAAACACAAATCTCTTCTACTTGACACTTCTTTACTCACCAAAAGAAGGATTGAGTCGGTAGCTAAAACGCAAGTATGTAGAATATTTTTTTCTAGATATCAATTCACAAACCTGTCATACCAACTTTACAATCAGGTCAACAAAACACTTAATATTTACACCAAAACTAATTATTAATGTAAAGATAAAGAAGAGAGTGGCTTAAGCCACTCACTTATGAGAAAATAGTAATATATATTAGGTTTCAAACATAGATTTACTTTTACACATATTATATGATACACTCATGCTCTGCGCATAGCATAAACTCACTCGAGCACCCATTTTCCAGACACACACATAAACACCCTTGCACATAGGGCTGGCAGAAGAACACACACACACACGCACACACACGCACACACACACACACACACACACACACACACACACACTCACACACTCTCTCTCACACACACGCGCGCACGCAGCACGCACGCAGCACACGCACGCACGCAGCACGCACGCACGCATGCACGCACGCACGCACGCACGCACGCACGCACGCACGCACGCACGCGCGTCCTTCACATACATACACTTTTTTTAATTCAATCATACTAGAGTAAAAATTGCATGCAACTTTATTTTTAAATTGTTACCTTGTATAAACTGCAGTATAAAATGTATGTTGCAAAACTGTTCCTGGAAAAGCGGAGTTTCCTAGGACAAGCAATTTATTTAGTTTAAAGGAATCTCTCCAAACATAGCAAAATTGTATTTTTAGACTTAAATTGGACACATAAAGATTGTTTGATTTAAATAAAATAATTTTTTTTGCGTCCGCGAACCGCCATAGACCAAAGAGTAGTTCGATGACCGACAGAATTGAGCGAGTCTCACAGATCACAGAGTATTGAAACTCGAAATGATTCATTTGAATGATCGGGTCACTAACCTGCCGAGTGGTTGCTAAGCTTCAGTGTGATGTTGCAGATCGGCAAGTTGGAGCAGTGGGCGGCGGGTGGGGCGGGCGGCGCGGGTGGTGCGGGCGGTGCGGGTGAGGCGGGCGGCGCTGCCGCGCTGCCGCCGCGCCTGCTGCTGGTGAAGCTGCTCAACGTGGCGCTGACGCTGTTGCAGCTCGTGCTGCTGCTCGTCGCCACCGTCGCCGGTGTCACCATGCCCTTCCTGCGCACTAGGCAAGCTCGCGCACGCGGACACGCACACGTACACGCGCAAACACACACGTACACGCGCACACACACGTACACGCGCACACACACACACACACACAAACGCGCGCGCGCCGCCGCGCCTGCTGCTGGTGAAGCTGCTCAACGTGGCGCTCACGTTGCTGCAGCCCGTGCTACTGCTCGTCGCCACCGTCGCTGGCGTCACCATGCCCTTCCTGCGCGTTAGGCAAGCACGCGCACACAGACGTACACGCACAATCACACATACACACACACCACACACACGCACGCGCGCACACACGCGCACACACACGCGCACACACGCGCACACGCACACACACACACACACACACACACACACACACACATTTTTTTCATTTCTCTTTACCAAGGACTCATCTATTACTCTAACCTAACTGTCTAGTGCCTGTTTAAGATACCCATATCATACCGTGGGTGTCGTAAAAGGCAACAGAGGGAAACGGAAAAAGAAGATGGGCAGCAGCATCTTTCTCATAACTGCTTAAAATAATAAAAAACTACAACCCGCTTGTCAGGCGTGGCAACTATGGCAAATATTTCCCATATGAAGCAATCTATGGGAAAGACCTATGTTCAGCAGTAGACTGTCATAGGATGTAATAGTTGGATGAATACGTGTTACCTCTGACAACACCTACGAGAAGATATATGGTTGTGAATTCTCTTACACTATCATAACATGGCTTGCGCGCGCACAATTTCCCGGAAATATCTTTGAACCTCACTATTATGCAGGCTCCAACTGTAATGCACCAAACAGCATCATCTGTATCCGACGCAGAGATTTTATTTACATGACATCGTAGTCCTTCCACACATTTTTTATATAATAAAAGTAACAAACGCACACAGTCCATCTGATGATAAGTAAATGGTGTAAACCTAAAGCACGACACACACACCGTCAGTTAAGCTTATCAGTTGAACTGGCTTACATCCAAAAACTGACCGTGAGTATGAAATCTTAACTTGAAATTTTGTATTGACATATTAACCCACGGATTTTTCTGGTCAGTTAAACTGATCGGTTGAACATCCAAAAACTGATCGTGAGTGTGAAATCTTCAGTTGAAATTTGAAGCCGGAAATCGTTTTGGCTTACATCCGTTTTGATTGATCAGTTGAACTGACCGTGTGTGTCGAGCAATAGACATCTAGATCTGCCCTCGATTAGGAATCAAAATTACCACTAAAAAGGATATCCAGTTCTTTACAATTACAATACAAAACAGCAGCTTAGCTTCGAAGTATTTTGTATGTGAAGCGAACAACCCCGAACGTCGTTTGTATCGGAATTTGGCCCCCTTCTTACATTTATATTTTTAATATAAATAAATAAACACAACAACAATAAAATCGGCGTAGGTGTTATTTATAAAAAGTAGTTATTTTGTTTAAAGAATCATGTCCAATTAACCTGAAAATTTTCTAACGCGTCTAGTGATATAAAATATCTTATAAAATTGCGATTTGATAGTTGAATTTTTAAATAAAACCAGGAAAAAAGTAATGTTCCTTTGTTTATCATTCTCAATAGACTTTTGGAGACGAAACGTGTTTTACAATGGCTCAAAGGCCCAGAAGCCATGCCAAAATATATTAAAAACGTGTTTTCCACGTTCCGTTTCAGACTACGAAAAACTTGTTCATTCGTCATGTGGTTTATGAATGTTCAAAATAACCAATTTTATAACTTATTAATTTTTGATTAGATACGATTTTTAATGGTTTTATACTATGGTGAGGAAAGAAAAATAAGTGTACAGACCTTATCTGACAGCTGTTATAACCTCAAAATTTTATTTACTTAATAGTATTTTTCCCTGGCCTCTAAATGAAAAGATGATAACTTATTATGTTATTATAAACAATAATTGTTTTCATGCAGTAGTTGTAGGTAGACGCGACCTGTTAAAGGAATCAAGTGACAGGTCAATCAATGTATGTGAAAGTGGGTATGATTATTTGTTGTACGTGTGTATAACGTGCAACTTTACCTCAGCTTTATTATTTTGTACAACACTACTTACAACAACTTGCCAGATACAAACACGTTATGTGGTTTGCTTCTACCATTCCTTTTTGTTGTTGATTTTTAATATTATTATTTTTTAACAGTTATATTATTTCTCAACAGAGTAAGAGTATTAACAACCAGTTTAGTGGTAATGGTGGGCGTGATGATATTGAAGCAGTGGCCCGAGGTGACGCAACTCTCCGACCATCTTGTGTGGCGACTAAAGAAGTACCTTCTAGATAAACACAGCGAAAGGTAATGTGAGGGATGGCCCCTTAGCTACATTATTTCTGGAGGGGTGAGGATAGTGGCCGTACACATAATATATTATATGCTTTTTTCTCAAATTAGGCGCTTTTGTATAAATATATCTATCATCTCACACATATATTATGGCTGGGACACGAAAAGATACGAAGTGATGTATCTGTATCTACCTACACATTGGGAAAGCTCATATAATATATAAATAAAAAGTAACCATTATGCACGCCTGTGTTAACATTGTTTATTTACTTGATGCCATATATTTTATTAAGTGCAAATTATATATAAATATAGCTGTAACATTCCCATTGTTTATTATAATAAGTATTGTGGTTTAAAAGTTATTTGGTTTATTTGTATATACCTTGTTTACTTAATTAGTCTGTGAAAACGAATAATATATTATGTTTAATTACATAATATTTTAATTAACATAAATATGTTGATAGTGACATGAAACAGCTATTAAAGCAACCTCTTTGTGACGTCTCAACGTCACACAATGATACGCGTCGTAACTGTCAATCCCCTCCATATAGGATACATAATATATTGAGTGTGAAGGTCCAGTATAGTGAATGATCTAAAACGTTAGTTCAAATAGTAACAAATGTAGCGAGCGACTAAAACTAACGACAAGTCTATATTGATATTAAAAGGTATCTCAATTGCATTTTAGATAGTTTTAAATGTTTTCTAAATTTATAATTATAATTTGTTCTGAGTACGACGGAATTATTATTATTACATAATGTTTAGATGTTTTTATACATACACTTTTACTTATACATATTATACTTTTTACTATATGAATAGATTTTATAACGTTTTTGTAAAAAGTAAATTTCATTAACATTGTAGGTCATTTTACGATGCCTTTAAATATCATATAGAGGTGGCCACTTCACTATACATTTTCCTTAACAGTATCTAATTTGTGACTTTATAATTAATTATTATATGTGACAAGCTTTCCGATATACAATATTGTATAATGTATGATATATAACTATAACTCATAACTAATCACTTCATATAATTTAATGTGGTGTACGTAACAAAACAATATATATTTATGTATGGCATATAGTGTCCGATCGGAACTTCGACCCATTTTGAAGGTTTCTAGCAAGCGCCGATTTTTAAGGAACTGCTACAAATTATCGACGGACATGGACGACACAATTTTAGTCATCTCTAAATCAACTTCTAGAGATAATTTTAACATTTTCATATTGTACATTAAACACAAACCATTGATTTTAAGGTTTTAAAATAATTTATATAAATACTCGCTTGCCAGACTTTTCGACTACACTTTGTCATGCCCTATCAAAAATCCTTATTTTCGCAAAAAAAAATTGTGGCAACAAAACTATCCTATCTGTCAAGTTGGGCCAAACTGCACATGGTGTGCAAATTTGATTAAAATTGGTTAAGTAGTTTAGAAGTCCATCGCCAAACAACGGGACACGTAATTTATATATATGTATATATATATATATATATATATATATATATATATATATATATATTAAGATTAATAATTTTAGCCAATCTTGAAAATCCTAAGAAGGTTGTAGCAATAGCCGATTAATATGCTTTGGTATCGGCTTCGGCCAGAAATCGACCTTCGGTCTGACACTAAATGCCATAATGTTTGTGTGTTAACTTTAAAACAGTATTACCGCTGTAAGTTAAAAAAATAACATACATTGCAACTAATCATATCGTCGAATTATTATAAATTTAATTGTTTTTGTTATTAAAATACCCCAAAATTAATTTTTTATGTTTTTCTTATAACAGACATAAGTGGAAAATGGTATTAACACTGTACTTACTATTTTCTTATACTAATTTTATTTTTAAAATTTATATATGCTTTTTATCTGTAAAATTTGCATTAACTGTAAAAGATTTAAAACAATTTCATCATTTTATATCTTTAATGAGTAAATATTTTTTTTATTTCCCACTTCAGGTATGAATGCAAGTCATTATGTGGTTGATTTGGCCGTACGGCTGCCACTAGTGAAAATATTCGTGATATTGCAATTTTTATCATTGGATCCTTTTATTTTATTCAGTCAAAGACTGAACATTTTTGTTAGGAAGAAGAAATGATTTCGACCCAAAAAAATGCCAAAAATTTCGCATGAAGTTTTGAGCTAATAAGGTGAGAATTATAAACTTATTTGGTGCAGTATTACGAAGAAAATATCGAAAACAATCTCATCTACGTTTGAAACGTTTGGACTTTTAATAAATTTTCATTAAATTTATGGCTATGGCAATTAGAAAATGTTATTGTGATAAATTATTTAATGTCGTTATGTACATTAGAATGAAACATTTTTATGCAGTATGCCTATCAAGAACAAATAGTAGTAAACAATAGTTTTATTAAATATATAAAATAGTTTTTTTCCTTGTCAAATGGATTTGATTTAAGCAATGTAATAAATGAAATATCAATTTATTAAGAACAATGTTGTAGTATCACGATTCCATCATTTTAAATACTATGTTCTCAAGGCTGTGCCGAGTTAGTTTATACCTTGCCTTATTAGTATGATTTATGTATCAATAAAAGTATTTTTTTAAATTGTATTTTGAATATTTGTTAGATTTTTGTTTATTAGTCATCTTTGCTTCCTCTCAAATAAAGTAAGTGAACTTAAAGGAGAGATTTTTTTTTATTTTGTGGAAATAGTTTAAAACATTAAATATTCTAAAGTAGTAAAACAGAAGAGGAGAAGGAGAAAGTTGTAGGGAGTGACAATTTATTGTAATATTTAGTTCAGATGTGATCCGAAAATAATTTGTTATAAATATTCTTACAAATAAAATATACACTTTTTTATAATAGTACAAAATTTCTTAGTATCTAGTTAATTGTTTCATTATCTTTCATTATTCATTCACTAGTTATTTGAATTATTATATTAGGTTTTTTAAATATAATTCAAAATTTACACGAATGTTTGGCAACGAGCTCGATATAGCTATGTTAATCTTGAATTTGAGTTTTCATTGAAACCAACTGATCTTTTATTAATTTTAAGTAGGTATATTATTTTTTAATGTTTTAATAAATAATTAAAAATAAGATCCATAAAGGGTTATGTGAAAGAGTATTTTAAAGGCTATCTAAAAATGATAATCCGTCGTTATCATTATGCTGAATTCTAAAACAGAATAACTAAAGTAGACATTTGTGTTATATATGAATTTATGACAAACATTTATCTAAATTAATAATTTGCAGTTATTATCTTGGACATTTAACTATGTATGTAAATTGAAATGCCAATAATTTCTATTATGTTATGAATGATTATAGTTACGGCCAGTAAGTATCTTAGTGTTAGTACAAAACAACTATGCACAAGACATCGTCATGCAACTTTAATACTTGTTGACAGAGTATACATGGCCGAGTAATATTTACAATGAATTCGAAGTAAAGCTACCGGTGAGCGATTGTACAGCTCTTTCGATATTATTAAAGAAAGCTAAATAATGTTTTTCGTTTTTTGTTTAACCAAAGCTTGCAAGTTATTTATGTTTTTGTTTCTATCTCTTTCGCATGATCTAACCAGTAGATGATTTTCTGTTTAACTTTAGCGCATTTTTGAATCATTTTCGAATCAAAGCGAATTTCAACGTATGCTTTTGTAACTCACTGTACACATTGCAAATTCACTTGGGGCAAGGTTTTATTCATGCGATTCACGAGCACGCGTCAGGGTTACTTTTCGTAAAAAAGTAGCATTGAACGAACTTATGTATGTATCCGTGCATTTGTTCGCTCTCGACTGACCGCTAGGTCACGAATGCACACTGCCACTACGTGCACGTACACATGCGCAAGTTCACGCGCGCTTGTTTGGTCATAAGACACTCGGTAAGTTAAACTGATCAGTTGAACTGACGTAAATCCAAAAACTGACGGTGAGTGTTAAATGTTAAATTGAATTTTTCAACTGACGCGGTAAGAGGTTGGCTTGTCAGATATGTAGTAACGTATGTATGTACTTCTGCGCGCGGGTACATCGATGAAGGCTAGCTTGAAGCCAGGGAATGAGGAAATCGTATTACCTTACATCCGTTTTAACTCATTAGTTCAACTGATCAGTTTAACTGACCGTGTGTGTGTGTGTCGAGCTTTAATTTCACATCATAAATTGTTGGCTTTATGGACAATTAGTTAATTTTCTTTATATGTCCATCTTATATTTTTATAAAAGTGAAATATGGCTTTACTCAACTAATGTGGTGCGTTATTGACTACAAAATATTCTTTTAAATATTTATTTATTAAAATAATATTTAACTGGTGATTTAATAGAGAAATCTTTTGTAGCTAATGAAGCGTTCGAGTCTTTAAAGTTACTCTCGATTCGTTAATTCGACCCTTATGTGCGAAACTCTGAAGAAATGATGTATATAATATATAAAGCAGTGAATTCTCAATCAAGAAGATAGTTTTCATAACACAACAAAATACTCTATACTTTATTGAATCGTAGATAAGTAGAAATTTTTAAAGCTTTTACTGTATTTAGTTTAAAATTTTAATATCATAGAAATACTTTGGAAGTGATAAATAACATTATTTAGATGGTCATATCGAAATCTTTTTCTATTATATTTGATATTTGTAACAAAAAAACATTCCAAATTTCTTACTGATTTAGAATATGACCATTGACCACCGGTGTAATGAATAATATAGATTGATAGAATTAAAACGTCCAGGTAACTACCTACCTTCAAGATTACCGCGATTTGCAAGTATCCAGGCTTTGAATTATAGCGAAAATTAATCTATTTGTTTTAAAATGTATATTATGTAAATATTACTACCTACTCAATTGTTTTTTATCGCAGTATAATTTTTAAATTTTTAGACAATCATTCAACAGCCTGATTTCTATAAATTAATATTTTTAATACAAATCTTTGAAAATACAAAGCAAATGAAGACACTGGAAACGCTAGTTTTATTATAACTATCAGCAAATTTAATAAAAATCTGTTCCTAGGGTCTGTCAATTATGTTATGCTTTAAAACGCTGTTTTTCGTTCTGTTTGTTTTTTATTTTATTATGTATGTAAGCGTAACATATTTGAATATGTTTTGTGTACATTGGGCTAAGCCTTTTAAAACACAACCTTAAACGTTTTATACCATTAGTTTACTTTGAGATAAGAATTACATAGTTTTATTAAAAACTGCTGTATCTGTATCCACTGTCTATAACTTACTATGTGAAGGGATTATGGATGTTCTCATTAATATTAACGCGGAATTGTGATTTAATATAAACAAAAGCTCTCCCATCGAGTTGCATGTAAAGTAGTATAAAATATATTATGTAAGATACATTTTTTTGTTGCCGGCTATGGAATGAATTAAATCATCACAATTTTATTTATATCTGTGTTTCATTTCAAATTTTATATCGTGCAGTGATATTATTTAAAAAAAAATAAACAAGCAAACTTAAATATACAAACTTCCTTAAATGCCAACTTTATGTTTGCTAGGAGAACGCACTCATACAAGTGGTAAACAACACGACAAACGACTCCAAAATCGGTTCGCCTAGAAAAAAGTTCTCCTTTATTTGAAATCGGTTGAAAACAACTAAGATCGCGTTCGCCTGCTGGGTCGTACGTGCTAGTGAAAGAGCGAAGTTTTAGTCATATTAACAGCCACTGACGATTAAGAGCCGCGGGCGCCGGTGTCGGTGACCCGGGCAATCTCTACACACCGGTCCCTTTCACACCTTTCACGGGACCTGTTTCATTATCAAATATAGTTTTAATTTGGAATTTACAATAATTGTAACTTTACAACCCTACCCAAAAATAAGGAACGAGCCTCTGGCGATCAACGCAAGTCGGTTTATTCAGTCAAGTCAAGTGACATGACATACACATACATCCGACAAAATGTTTAACCCTTTATAAGGCATAAGCATCTAGGGGTGGATAAGTAAAACTGTTGATGGTTTTAGACTATTTTTATTATGGTTTTTCACAAAATGCAAATAAGAAATTCAAAAATTTAAAAAAACACGGTGGTAAATATTTTCCCGCTGCCCGTGACGCCTTAACTAGCCTTTCCTATGAAATGCAGTAAAACATGGTGTTATGCAGAGCGGAACTTTGCATTTTTCACATATAACTTTCGATCTTTTGTCTTTTTCTTTTGTGCTACACATTCTGCAACGTTTATATGAAGGCGATTCAACGGGCATATGGTCTCCAACGTTGGTGAAACGAACTTCCTCTGCGACAACATGCACTGCCTTTTGGCGATTCTCAGAAGCAATTTTTTTTCTGCAGATATAGTTGACTAAACTACCAGATCGTCGTTTTCTACTGGAAAACCCACTGATCAGTCCTCTAGCGACAGAGACTCGAAATTCAAGATTGCTTAGTTTTGTCGCATTCTTATTTTGGCAATATAACAAGTATGCATTTGTTATACTTGTATCTAAAAGGAAAAAGAATATTCGGACCCACCATCTCCTACTTCTTCTGCCTACTGAATAGGTACTTTTTATCTGATCAAAGTGATCAACGCCTCCCATCCTTTTAGTATACTCCTTTATTGCTAACGGGCAGTTGATTTCTTGTTTTGTGCCGTCTTTCTGAGTCCGTAAGACAGTGGTTTTGCCAATTTTTGGATGGAATGCATTACTCAATAGGAGAACCTCTTTGGTATCTTGCCAAACTAAGAAAGATACATTTCCCTTGACTCTCCATTTATATTGTCCTTTTGCAAGCTTCTGATTCGTTTTTACAAGTACAGGCAGATGTTTTCTGTGTCTTCGTACAGTTCCTGTAGCATAAATGCCATTTTCATATAGATATTGCATTAGAGTGTAGTCACAGAAGAAATTGTCAAATGTAATAATAATATGATATTCCTCCAGTGCTTTATTTATCAGCTTTTCAGTCAACATCTTCACAACTTTGGATCCTAGTCCTTCCT